AGACTAAAAATTTGTTACAGTTAAAAAATTGAACTGAAAATTTTCGCATCACAATAATAACCAGATTTTGATTTAAACGTGTTAGCCCTAACTACAAAAGGTGCGTCTGGATCGAAAACGATCGATCGATTAAAAGAAAGTCATGCAAGTCTAGTGGGAGCGAGTATTGCGCAATTTATTTATTTAACAATTTAAACATAATTTTTAAAACTATCAAATTCTCAGCCACTTTTAACTTTGTCGCTTTTGACGGCAAAGTTGTTGTAAAGTTAATTAGCATTTTTCTTAAGCTGATGCTTTACAATATTTTGTATACTTTGAAAACCCTTTAAAATGGCGATCCCATTTTTAAAATTGTTTTCCATATTTTTCCAATGATCGGTACAGTCAATAAAGAACTTAAAATTAGCTGTTATATTACAATATGTGCTACTATTTTCGCCACTAAATGGACCAACTATTATGATGTTGACATTTTGCATGGCTTTTAAACACTTACCAAAAAATTATAAGTTTTACTGGAATTAGACATGAATGTTGTCATGAATTTGTAAAAAAAACTAACCATACCTTTGCGAAGGCTAAAACGATTAGGATTTTTCAAAACAATTATATAAACATAAGCCACCACTTACTTGGTAATCCTCGCGCCGAAGTGCTCGAGGTTAGGCTATTTATATTTGTTAAAATGTATTGTTAAGGTGTTAAACCTGTATGCACGAATTCAATGCTTATATTAAAAATAGAAAAAAAAATAATTATAGAAGTATGTGATTTCTAATTCTTTGAAGGGTATTTCAGGATATTAAGGTGCGAAAAGAAATCAATAAACAACATTAAATAGATTCGTACTTTAAATGAAACATTGAACCAAAGCTAAAGATAATGGTGTGAATTACAAATTGACGATACAAATCAAATTTGTAGCCAACAAGCTGCAATACGTACTGCAAGTTTTTTGGCCATCTGTTGGTTTCAAATCTGTTGGCCGAGAGTCTGACAGACAGACAGTCTGTAGTATAAAAGCCTGAAATAGAGCCTTGTTGTACATGATTTCTTAAATCAGAATTATACAGTTATTGTATTTTTTCGAAACTTAAAGGGTATTTAAGAGCTGAACGGTTACCTTTCTAAAACTGTAGGCATGTTTTCTAAAATAAGCTTTGCATGCAAAAAAACATTTAACAATTTTCTTTTCCTCCTCTACTGCTCTGCGGAAATTGCAACTCCGGCGCATTGTAAAGCAAATACATAATGCATTATGCATTAAATTAAACAATAATATTTAAAATATGTAAATTGTCACGACTCGGCGTCCAAGTTGGACTCATAAAAAATATTGTACTAATACTTATTTAAAGCGGTTAATTAAAGGGGAGAAACGCATAAAAATGTAACGTAAAGTCCTCCTAAGGCAGCCAGTAAAAGGGAACAGAGTCGATATACGGGTATATACTTATGTACATACACACACATACACAAGTATGTAGCTACCCACGGCTGTTCAAGTTGGTAGCAATATTATGTGCGGGTGTGCATGCACGAGCATGCACATGGCGACAAGGAAAATATTTGGTATTTTGTATGCAAAATAAAGTGCTTCAAAAGTCACTTAAAGTGTGTTGTTGGCTGCTGTCGCGCAGCAAAAAAAAAGCGTAAAAATGTTAAATGATAAATAAAATTTACAACCGCAACAAAAACAACAAGGAGGACGACAGGCCCAGTCACCAGTCGCCGCCAAGTGCTGATATGTTAGTGAAGGGGGCAAGTGGGGGGCAGACGAACATATGTGGCTGGCAAAGAAATGTTTGGTGTTGGTGTTGGTGTTGGTGTCGGTGTCGGTGTGGCTCCTTTTCCAGCAACATAATAAAATGCAATTTAGACATCAAAAATACACAGTAAATGGCGCGCGCAGAGGCAAGAGAGATGTTGAGGCAGACAGCCATACAGGCAGACAGCCGAGACAGCCGACGAGCCGCAACCGCAGCTCCAAACAGCGACAAAAGAGCTCGCCCGGCAGCAGACATCCGCGTGACTGACACGCGGCAACCAAAGGACCCAACCGAACCGACATATGAGAGACAGTTGGAGGACAAACCAAGAAAAAACCTATCCTGCGACTATGCGACTAAACGAGAACTCGCATGTATGCGAGTCTTCCAAATGAGCAATGAGAACTTGACTATCTTGCGGTCGACTGGCACAGTCGAGGAATTGAGTTCTTGTCTCTATGTAGTACCATACAAATGAAGTATGATAAATGTGATTGTCAGTGCGTGTGTGTGTGGGTGTGTATGTGTGTGTGTGTATGTATGTGTGCCTTCTTGCTGTATCTCTTTGCATAACGAATGAACAAATGGCTGTAACTTAATGATGCTTTATATGCAGGACAATGAGCCAAATCTGCGTCGCGATGACTACATCTGGCATGCAGCCTTCCACACACAGCCTTCCCCAACATCTGAAAATTAATCCGTTTATATATAAGTATTTCATGGACTTTAAAACATGCATTTGTTGGTATTACGTTTCAGAATTACAACTTGTTCAAATGTCAGAAAATTGTATACATACATAGAGTACTTATTAGTACTCCACCACTTGACTTATGTACGAATATATCTTAACAATCACATTCTTAACATTATTCCAAACTGTGCTAGATGGTTTTTATACCCTATACCCGCACTGTATAAAGGGTTATTATGTTTGTGCAAACTGTGTAACAGACAGCTGCCAACAGCTTCAACTCCATGAATCATTACATAAGCATATTCTAAATCAGCATGATGAAAGAAATCAATCTAGACATGTCTGTTCATCCGTTTGTCCGTCTGTCTGGATGAACGCCTGGTTTTCGGAAATGGCTGAGCATACATAACCGAAACTGGGGCTGTAGACTCACCTAGTCCGTAGGCAACTCGAGTTTATTTTATTTTTCTATTTCACCTGCTACAGAATATCCCAATTCCCAAACAACATAAACTAAACTTAATTAATATAATACATGTATAATTATCTTCTTTAGTTTCAAGTTTCATTAAAATCTGACAATTCTCAGTAATGTTATTAGCGAAACAATTTCACTCCACTTTTGGCCCATTAAATGCAGGAGGGGGTTTGCTCTTCTTCTTCTGTATGTATCTTCTGGTCATTGTTGTTTGGGTATTTTGCTATCGGGCTGGCTCGACTGTAGCATTCTCTTCCGTTTTTTAATAAACTTTTGTCAGGGACCTCAAATAATGATAATTTTTTTTTAAGCGAAAAAATCATTCATTTTGAGAAAGCGACGATTTTACCAATATCTTTTTTTAGGATTATCTATGAATTTGCTCCAAAAATTTAAAAGAAATAATAAAAAAAAATTATTTTTTTTATTTATTTTTATTCATTTTCTAAAAATTTCATTTCTAATTTTTAGTTTTACTTTAAAACTTTACAAATAATCAATATTTTTAACGGACATTGCCTTAAACATTCATTATTATGGCCCACTTTTTCGCCTTAAAACGGAAATAAGTAGGATTTGTTTTTTGTTTCCCTTTGGAAAAAGCTGCCTACCCCCTTGCATTATTCGCTATGAAAAAGGCAGGAGCAAATACAACTTGAGGTTTATTTTTGGAAAAAAAAAATATTTAAGAATAATCATTTATTTATGATTTTTTTTTGAACAAAAATAATGATTATTAGTTAAGTTGTAATGTAAAACTCAAAATTAATCAATATACTTGTATTGTGAGCAAAATTAAAAAAAAGATTTTTTTTTTAATTTTGTAATTTTTATTATAAAACTGAAATGATTACAGTCCCTGTCTTTTGTTGCAACCAACTATTATTGGTGTGTTTAGTGGATCGGCTTTTAAATAAAGTTTTCTTTTAGCTTAGCGATATTTTGACGTCTTCCGGACTTACTCTAGTATTAGTGACTCAACAATCTAGATGGTTAATAGTCCGTTAATGGTCTGCGAGCGCTCCTTGACCGTTGAAGCCCATTCTTGATTTGATGTGCGGCCGACTTGAAATGCAAGCAGGCAGGCTTAAGCTGGGCAGCTGCATACCCCACCCTGCCAATAACAAATCAAGGCTATGGCATACTCTAATATGTAGAAATACACGAAACACCAGATGGCTCGTGAAGACATGCCAGCGCGTACCAGGACGACAACGGCGTGCACTCAATTTAATTAGAGTTTGCGTGCGGGTCGCTTGCGTTCAGGTGGGTGGGCTCCGGACAAAGGATGCTCGGCCCTGGGCGACCCGGCATCCGGGTGGTAGGTGGTAGGTGGCCGAACGACGAACTGGAACTGTAAATTCAATGGTACGGAAAGTACTCATCTTTGTCTTCCTTTGAAACGCAAGGACTCCACTCTCTATATACTGTATTTATGCAACACAACTCACGAAGATGAATTTCATTTCATTTAACACACTTTTCAGTCTGTGCGCTTAAAGTGATGTTAAATAAATGGTGCTGCGGAATGCCTGTGATAAATGCGAAATAAAATCTCAGGCAGGACAAAAAATAAATATATATATATACATATACAAGTATAGTATATGCTCGTATAAAAGTCAAGGAAACAAAGGCAAAAAGCCAAATGAGTTAAAATGTCAGCTATATTGAATAAAATGTGTATGTAAATGGTTGTATTGTTAAATGAGTCACAAAATTGTCGTACATTACACAACTTTTGGATGCACAAAAAGTGAAATACCAGTACATTTATATTTATGCTAAAAATAAAGTGAAGTAAAGTAGGGCCATAAAGTGGTTAAATTGCACAAAAATTTACAGAGCGTTTCTGTTTTGTTGATGTGCGTGATTCGTCGTGAATCGTATGCGTAATACATTTATAATCTAAAGTACGTGCGGTAATTTATTTACGAGAATATGAAAAATGTGTGAGTGCTGACAGAAGGCTGTTATTTTTGCATGGTTATGTGCTGACTTACTGGCTCCTGGCCCCTCCTTCTGCTCCTTTCCCTCCGCCTGCCACCCCCTACCACCAGCCCTTAACCTTGTGCAGCACAGTCTTAAAGACGGGCACTTTGACGGGGAACGGCTTAGGAATTTTGATCGGCACATACTTAACCACATGGTAGGGCAGACGCTTTTCCACTGGCACGGGCACAAGCTTCTCCACTGGATAGGGTACGACACGCTCAATGGGAATTTTCAACTCCTGCTCAACAGGCACCTGCACCTGTTTGGTTATGGGAATGTGTATGGGGACGGGTTTTCTCACGGGCACAATGACCGCATGGGATACGGGAACAGGCACAGGTTTCTCAACCGGTATATGTTGCTTCTTGACCACCGGATAGGGCAGATAGTTTATGATGTCTGTGTGGTGGGAATGCTGAAGCTGTGCATGGTTGCCTGCTGTCTCTGGCAAGTAATTGGGACCCTCGCCGTCGTGGCCGTCGTTGTGGTGTTGCTGATACTCACTCGGACCACTGGACGCTGCTTCGGCAATGGCGTGCAACTGAGGAGTATAGTAGGAGGAATGGTCGGCTTCCTGCTGCTGTTGGTGCTGCTGTTGCTGCTCCGCAGGATGCTGATGCTCGTCGTAACCGGAATTATGCTCGTAATGGTGCAAAAAATTGCCAACAGAGATTTTATCAAAGGCGTGCGCATGGCCTGATTGGTACTCGACGCCCTCGCCGAGCGTATCGCGTTTAGGTGTCGTTGGCGTCCAACTGTTGTGGTCTAGGTTGCCAGTGCCACTGCCAGTGCCAGTGCCGTACGAAGAGGGCAAGAAGCCAGAAGAACTGCCAGCTGGGAAATCGTAAATCGCTGTGTGCACCCCGGCACTTGAGTGCTGATGATTGTTTTCACCGCCATCTCCGCCACTGCCGGCATCGGAGCTGCCCAAATTGTTTGCTGCCACTGCTAATGCCGCTATAGAAGCATCTTCATGCTGCTCTTCGTAAATTGGAATCTCTTGTTTCGTCGATGCGATGGCCAAAGTCTCACGGCGCGTGGGTGCGACAGAGCCATAGCCGTTGCTAATGTGACCCAAGCCCGAGAGATTTGTGAGCCCATTAAGAACGGCCGCTATTCCGCCGCCTCCCCCTCCGCCGGCACTGCCTCCATCCAACGATTCGCTATAGCTGCGCCGTTTTGTGACTAACGCTCCTCCATTCTCATCAAACTTGGTCGTGTAATGATACCGCGAGTTGTACGGCTGCTTTCTAGATGCTGATGGTGGTGGCTCCGGGGCCCATCGATTATCATACAGCATCGTCTCTATCGCCATGTTGTTATGGCCATAACTGTCATGCACTTGCGCCTTCACGCCTTTGCCAGCTATGCTAGTTAGCTGTATTGGCATTGACGAAATTTTTTCAACTGCCGCACCGCTGCAGACAATGGGAATGGTTGCAGATGTGGCAACGAACAGGAAGTGCTGTGGATGTGGATTGGTGTGGAAACAAGAAACGTTTTAAAATGCAAATGCGCTATCGAGTATTGTGTGAGCCCGAGCCAAACTCAGCTACAGTGAAAACTCCCTTAATGGACAGCTCTTTTATCCGGACACTTTTTCTAAGCCATTCGATCTGTGTATCATGTATTTAAGTATCCCCTTAAGCGGACACTCCCTTTGGGCGGACAAAAATTAGCCGACCGCGAGTGTTCCGTCAAGAGAGTTTTCACTGTATTCTATATTCGTGTACAGTGAAAACTCCCTTAATGGACAGCTCTTTTATCCGGATACTTTTTTAAGCCATTCGATCGCTATTTAAGTATCCCCTTAAGCGGACTCTCCCTTTGGGCGAACAAAAATTAGCCGACCGCGAGTGTCCGGTCAAGAGAGTTTTCACTGTATTATATATTCGTGTACAGTGAAAACTCCCTTAATGGACAGCTCTTTTATCCGAACACTCTCTCGATGGACACTTTTTCCAAGCCATTCGATCTGGGTATCATGTATTTAAGTATCCCCTTAAGCGGACACTCCCTCCGGCCAAGAGAGTTTTCACTGTATTATATATTCGTGTACAGTGAAAACTCCCTTAATGGACACCTCTTTTATCCGGACACTTTTTCAAAGCCATTCGATCGATATTTAAGTATCCCCTTAAGCGGGCTCTCCCTTTGGGCGAACAAAAATTATCCGACCATGTGTGTCCCGTCAAGAGAGTTTTCACTGTATTCTATATTCGTGTACAGTGAAAACTCCCTTAATGGACAGCTCTTTTATCCGGACACTCTCTCAATGGACAGTTTTTCCAAGCCATTCGATCTGTGAATCATGTATTTAAGTATCCCCTTAAGCGGGCACTCCCTCCGGCCAAGAGAGCTTTCACTGTATTCTATATTCGTGTACAGTGAAAACTCCCTTAATGGACAGGTCTTTTATCCGGATACTTTTTCTAAGCCATTCGATCGATATTTAAGTATCTCCTTAAGCGGACACTCCCCTTGGGCGAACAAAAATTAGACGACCACGTGTGTCCCGTCAAGAGAGTTTTCACTGTATCTACATAGTACTGGACGACTTGTTGGCATTTCTCTGTGCCTGCCATTGGATTACAGAACATTTAAACGGCACTCACCCATATTATGTTTGCCATTTTCCTTGGGCCTGTTTAGAATTGGTGTGGTTGGCTTCGATTTTGTACCGACACCGACCTCGATGGCTGCTCGCTTGCAATTGAAATGGCTTTTGCTTGCATTCAACCAGCGTATTTATATCTAACTCAGTTCGCAGCAGGACACAACACAATAATGGCCAGCCAGCATTACACAATTTGCAATGCTGCTGAATATTTTTGTTGTTTATACAAACTACTAGTAGTAGAGAGCATGACAACCCCACAACCACAACCTAGCGACCACTTCTTTCTTTCACTCTGTATTTATGAATTAAGTTACGCGATCAATTCAAATGATGGAAACCCAGAAAAACAGCAGCAAATCGCAATCGTAAACCGGCTAAGCCATAATACTAACTACTCGTACCGAAGGCAATAACAAAAATTGAGGAAAACAATAAAGTTCAAAGTCATTTTCCATAGCAATGGCAGCAAGGAATGAAATAGAAAGCACAAACCAGCACGCGCCACTCTTACAAGCCAAATTTAATAATGAACTGTAACTTCATTATAAACGCAATCATAGTATACTCGTATATATTATGGTGATCACGAATCCGCGTGGCCTTCATAACCAAAATACTTACTCCACTCAAAGTCAGTCCAACTGGCAACTCAAGAGCAAACATCAACAGCAACTTGGCTCAAAAGTAGTCCGACAAGTCACTGCCGCGCCGACTGGCCAGTGACCGACCAGACCAGACCAGAGCGTACTCGAAGCAATCACCAGCTGCGGGCCAAAAGCTGACTGCTGTGATTTGCTGCACTTTTCCTGCAGGCGGCCATCGTCGCTTATCTAACTTCAGCTGCATTGTTTGGCTCGCCTTCACCTTTGCGCGTACGTCCGCATAAGTCCGTTTCGCTTCCTTTTTTCTTCTGCTCCAAAAGAGGTTACTTTTAATTGTTTTACCCTTTTTTATTTTCCTGTCACACCACCCCGCCTCGCAGCACTACAAGAAATGCTGCATTCAGTTTGCTCTTTGCAGATACTACTCGGAGCAGCGGGTGAAAAGTGAACGCCTTTTAAGTGCACCTGCAGACATGATGCTGCTGATTATATTTTTCTTGCCAAGCGTAACAGCTCGTTAGTATTTTCAAGTGATTTTCATTTTCATTTATTTTTACTGGAACTCTTGGCTACATGGTCTTGGTCTTGGCTACATTTGTAGCAGCCAAGGTAAGAGGACGGCAAAGGCCGTCACCCAGCGCAAAGGAAATGTACTGATTTGAAAGGAAACAAGCATTTTAACTTGCCGACCGTTTTTTTTTTTTTTTTTTTTTTTTTGTGTTTGTTGTAGCATTTATCTTTAGTGCCTGTCTGTCGGTCTGTCTGTCTGCCTGCCTGCCCGTTGTTTTCCTTGCGTCGACAATCACTTTTTATACTCTGTACATGAAATGTACAAGAGTATATTAGGTTTGCGGGAGCTGAAAAATGTAACAGGCAGAAGGAGGCGTGGCAGACCCCACAAAGTATATATATTCTTGATCAGCATGACGAGACGAGTCGATCTAGCCCTGTCTGTCTGTCTGTCCGTCTGTCCGTCTGTCCGTCTGTCCGTCCGTATGAACACCTGGATCTCAGAGACTATAAGAGATAGAGACACCAAATTTTGCACAAAGATGCGTTATGTGTGTATTCTATACGAGTTTGTTTTATTTTTTTGATTTTCCCCCCCACTTCCCCCCTATGGGGGTTTTCCCGATTTTCCATTCGTATAATCGCCTATATCTCGGAGACTATAAGACCTAGGAACACCAAATTTTAGTCCCAGATGCCTTATGTGAATACGCAGAAAATGTATATTTTGGAATTCCCCTCCCTCCCCCCTCTACCCCGCAAATCGTAACTCCCGTAATTCTTGGAATTTCGAACTAAAATTTTGGAAATACCCCCAGTTGGTTATTATGTGTCCGTATGCCAAATTTCATTATGATAGACCGATTTAACAAGAAGTTATAGCCATAAATATATTTGCTGATGCAGCGCTGCTGCAGCGCTGCTCAAGCGCTGCCCGCGGCTGTTGTTGATGTTGCTGTTTGGTTGACTGCGAAAATGCTTACACAGACACGAATTGATGCGCATAGGCATACATACACTCACACAGACGCAATTGCTATGTAAATGTGCAATTATACGTGAGTTCGAATACCGAAAGAGGTAAAATCGATCAAATTTTTTTTTTTTATTTTCTTAATTTTTTTATTTTCTATAATTATTGTAAACATATGTACAGAGTATTTCAAAGTCGGGACACCCGACTTTAGCTTTTTTACTTGTTAGTTTTATTTTTTTTTTTTTTTTTTGCTTAGCACAATTTACGCTTACACTTCAATTACATGATATTTTCGTCTTCCCTCGCCTGGTTTAAAATATTGCGCAACTGCGGTTTACTCAATAACTGGACTTCTTTCGAGCCTCTTCCATAAGTAAGTTATGCTCAAGTGACCTCTATCCGTTTATTATTGTAACAATTCATAATGCTAGTACATACATATGTAATTCCTTGAAAAAAAAAAACACTGATCTACCCGCTGAATAGAAATGGAAAACATGCTTTAAATAAATATTTTCAGAGCTCAAACAAATGGCATTCAGACATGGTGCAACAAATACAGGCTATATACGATATTAACGAGGGTAAGGCAAAATGTTCCAGAAAAATTGTTACCCATTTACGAATATTTAGTGAAAATTCTAATAAGCAACTTGGGGAACAAAATTCACGATATATGAAGAAGGATAAAAACAGCGATCTGTAAAATAATTGTTTGAAATTACTAATTAGTTTATATAGAGATTTAATTAGAATTGTACAGTATTAAGGAATCCTGCGGAATTTCATTTATTTATAAAAAATTGGCTCAAAAATTTGCATGTTTTTTATTATTAGTTAAAAATAAAGAGGTCCGGTTATAAGACCTTATCTACTTAATTATTAGTGTAAAGTATGTTTTTACAGTATATGAGTGAACTCACAATTTCTAATGTGTAACAAAAACGGGGCATGTGATTAACGTACAGATCGATATATACATAATTAATACGCCTTTTAGAGACATTTCGCTAAGCCTGTTGCCTGACTTTGAAGGAAGAGTCTAATTATATGTATTTTTATATTCTGTACCCAAATGTAAATTTAAATTTAAATATATGTAAATATTCTTAATCAGTATGACAAGACGAGTCGATATAGCCACATCTGTCCGTCTGTATGAACGAAACTATTTCAGAAAGTACCAGAGCTAGAATAACCAAACTTGGTACCCAGATTCCCCTAAGTGCTAGATAGGTCAAGTATAGTAATTGTTTCTGAATTTTTTCTCTAAGGATTTTTCCATAGCTCCCATAATGTTTGATAGATCATCCTAGATCAATTGAAAACAATATTATTATTATTATATTTTCATCGTTTTTATAACTAAATAATAATAATAAATTCAGAAGTGATTCCTTTTTTGAGCAAATGCTCCCAAAATTGAGGCAAACACTTATCTTTTCATTTGTCTATTTTCTGTCAGTCAGTAACATGCTCATATATGGTTCCTACGTACTACCCGCAGAGTCTATAACACAAAATATATATAACTGCTGAATCAGGTTGATAAACTTGCCACCGCACCCTCGCATATATGCTAGTAGTATGTTCATTTTAATAAAAATGCCGGGCAGGCGAGTAATAGCTTTGTTTTAGGACGATTGCAAATAAAATGATGAAAAACTGTTTCAAAATCGAGTAATATTTTTGTGGCCGTATATTTTGTTATTTGTTCCATAAAAGCAAATTTGCATAGAAATATAACCGTACATTGTATTTGCGTTTGTGTGCGTATGTGTGTGTGTGTGTCCTGCCAAATAACTCTCTCAAAAAGTATTTACATGCATGGTATTTATGCAGGCATTTTTTTTTTATTTACTTTACATGGGCACTATGGGAACAGAATACATTTCAAGGCAAATTCTTGTTATTGATACTTAATAAAGAAAAGGTTTAAGTAATTGACTGGACAGAGTAGTTATTTGTACTATAAACAGAAGTTTTGTTGGAGTTTAAAGCAATATTTTAAAGAAAAATGTATAACAAAATTCTTAGAGCACTTGGTTTAGGGAGAAAAGTTCAGAGCACCTCCTCTGTTACTGTTTAGCTCTCAGCAGACTTCGGTTTTTAGAAGACTGACTGTAAAATTAGCTAAGTTCCTTTATAGCTGGGTTAGTCGGTCAATTAAACCAAAAGGCAACACGAAGAGCCTTTTGGGGCTCAGCACCTTCTAACTAGCCTAACAATGAGTCGAATTGACACAACAAAGTTCTAAATAAGAAAAGGGCTTACTATAACGACACAGTTATAGCTTTTTAATAACATGTTCTTCCAGGTTCCTTCATGCATATTGGAGTAAAAGAATCATTTTCTTTTTTTCAATTTATATATACATATAGTATCTATACATTAGCTGAGAATCCGCCAGCATTATAACACAACTGCTTAAATATTTACAAAAATATAACACTTTCTTATAACAAGTTAACAGTTGATATATTAAATTTTAATACACATGTTAAAGAGGTCTAAGAGGTTCATTTTTTGAAGAGTTTTTCCAAATGGCTGACAAGGCATCAGCAGCAGTCCAAGTTCTCCAGAGCTCGATTCCGTACCTCCAGCAGAGCGTAATGATTGCCGCAATTTAAGTTTTCTTATTTGTTTCCATTTCCATATTATTTAAAGTGAAATCTCTGGAAATTGCAAGGCATCGACTGATATTTTTGTGGCAAAATGTCTAGATATATTCGCATCACTCCTAAATAAAATTGAAATAATAACAATTTACATACTTGTATTTTACTAGAGATTTTGTAGTCAGGGGCGTGGGTCGAGTTAGCCACAGTGCAGTGTATAAAAAAAGAATATTCAAATGTCGAGCGAAATAAAAGCGCAGAGCACAGAAATGAACAACAGAATTAACAAAGAAGAAATTTTTAAATG